GGGGTGGGGGAGGGAGGCCGAGGGAGGGGGACGCGGGGGAGGAGAGGCAGCTGCGAAATTAAAGTGGTTGCAATTTACTGGCGCGACGCGACCAGGTCGCACTCGTTACATCGCCACCACCCATTTGTTTCACGCATCATTTTAGCGCCACCGCCACGGACAATCGCCGCGTGTAAACCGGCGACGTGTTTACAGCCACCTGTACGTATGTACACCGCGCGCTATTTGTCCCGACCGAGGCGTATCGAATTGGACCTTCTCTATGCCAAATCCCTCCTTTGACTATATTCTAATTTGACGTATTGTCCGTTGTTGTATCTCAGAATTACGTGCGCAAACGTGCAGGAAATAATCGTGATTGGTTATTTTTACGTAATCGTAAAAAAAGGGGTGCGATATAAATATGGTAGAATGACGAGGGAGAAAAAGATATCGCGCAGTATCGAGGACCGAGCTGAAAAAAGCGCCCTTCTATTTTTATAAAAGGCTGCATCCTCCACTATTACTTGTTCTAATAAAATTGCAGCGTGGAAGAGAGTTTAATATTAGGCGACACACCCACCATTAATACACGATAATCCGTTTTGTGGAAGTTACCAATAAAGTTAAAAAAAGAAGCTTACAATATTTATTATTACCTTTTCATACATTACTTCTGAAATCGTTTTATTTAATTATTTTCTTTTACGTAATACTATTATATTATATTAAAATTTAAATTTCATAAGCATACGTTTCATCGTAATAAGTCACCATAATTCATAATAGAAAATCATTATTTGCATTCAGCTGGCAGGGTTTCCCGCTTTCACGGAGAACTTCCACAAGTCGTGAATCTGCTTCCTACATCGGTTACTCGAACGACCACGCTTCTAGCAAGCGTTTTCTTGCTTAACGACACTTTGACGAATGTCGACGTCTCTTGTCGGATGTACTTCCACGAAGAATGGGACAAATGGTTTATCGAGAGGCGAGGACGTGCATTCGCATTGTGCTTATACGTTCCTAATACGTGATATCAAACTTACGTGACCGACATCGGGAATAGAAACGGTTGGGATTGCAACTGCTCGTTTCGGAGAACTTCTCGGTTTGTTCTACCGCGGTGCGAGAAAGAGTGTACACGTAAACATCACTAAAAACACTCTATTTCGGCGGGTACGTGATGTCAAATAGTTATACTAATCGCTTCTCTGTCAAATCGTTAGAACGATATTATCCTCTGATATTACTTTAAATTTTCCTAGAGAAGCAATTAAAACTGCATTTCTACTTCCATGTGTTTTTTCTTTAAATAAAGTTATATTTCAAAATATCACTATCGCTATTATGTCAATCACAATCGCGTTTTTCTGTGATTTTTATATTCAGAGAGAAATATGGAGATATAATACGATAAATTTCCATCGGATTCGTCTTCGAGCTGAAACGCGCGGAAGTATGAACGATTAAGAAGAGATCCTTATGTCGACTCTTGTGCCCACTTCCTGTGTGCCCTTCAGCTGCGCCTAAGGTGTAAGGTGCCTGAGAGCTAGGCTATAAGTTATACAGAGGCGTTCCTGGAAACTTGTGCAGGCGCGCAAAGAGTGCATATTGAATTTAAACAGACGTAAAACGGCGGCTCGTAAATGGTACATCGTAAAGCACTTAGGCCGTAACTTTAGAGGCGGGCTGTGGCGGGGAGGAGGCACCCGTTAAATTTTGTGCGAAATTAATCTCAGGCGTGACTGTGGCTTATTGCCAAGGCGAACGACAGCCAAGTGATGGAGGACAAGAAACACCGGAGTGGCATCGAGCGCGCGGGCGCCTTTGAGGAATTACTGCACGTATACGTACTTAAACGAAGTGATGCCATCGAAGGTCTAAAGGGGATCCTGATGGACAGTAATTACGCGCGGAGAATATCGCGCCGGGCTCCTACATTTCGCACACCGCCGCGCTCTAAATAAATAAAATATATTGTAGTCCACTTTATGGGGACCCGGTAACACAGTTAGCTCTTCATTACACTTCTGGACTTCAAAGGATATATTGAATTACGGCCTCGATAATGACGTTATAATTTTTTTCTCACGCGATATTACTCGTCATTCAATTTATCCCCTTTTTCGGCTTAATACGTTTTGATGCTTTGTCAGCGTCAAACGCTATATTAAGTCTGCGTTAGTATATTAAGCCTACCTTTGAAAACAACGATATTCGCACAGATATGGCGGAAGACTTTATATTTCCGCTTAATTTACATTAATCATATATTGAGTAATGAATACGAATTAAATGGAAAATGAAATTATCATCCATATATCTCCTTAAAAAAAACAGGATATTTTTTTTATCGAAGAATTAAAATGTGCAGTTTTCACTTTGTATACTCAAGGCTAACAGTTAAAATAAATTATTTCAAAGTTTCTTTCTCGCATAATCAGATATTGATTACAGCAGTAAGAAACAAAAGCGCTTTGTTTATAATTCATTATTGTGAAATCGATACGATATGGCTCAGGTGACATTAATCCGGTATAATTACTGATGGAGTTGTATGAGGAGGGAGAGAGAGAAAAAAAGAGGAAAGCGTAGGACGTCTCCCTTTCGAACTTCGCTGAAAGTAGCGAGGAAGACTCGCGTAGCGGAAACTTGTTTGGCGAGCGGAAGTCGGCGTTCCTATTGATTTTCCCGGGACACAACGTATACGCGATACCCGGGACAACGATGTTATATCCCTCATCCAAGTTGCATCGCTTATATACCGCGCGCGCAGAGTTATACCGGGAGGTATATCCGCGCCGGTGTCTTTTCTATCGCGGCTGTACCCTCCCTTGAACTTACTCCGAGAAAAAAGCCGAAGATTTATGGGCGTCGGTAACCCTTGACAAGATAAGGTCACCCATCGATTAGCGGAAGAGGGTAGGACCGACCGGCGACGACGTCGTCGTCGAAGTTAATGGAGGCTCGATCGATGCTCTCTCTTCCGCCGTTATTCGTCGATCATTCGCCGCTATTCGTTCATCCGTCCGTCCGTTTCGCTCGCTCGTTCGTTCGTTCGTTCATTCGTTCACAGAACCACGCGCGAGTCCCTTCAATCTTAATCCCAGCCGAATGACGAATCTGAAAAATTTGTCGGTCTGTCGACGGGCGCGGATGTAGCGTCGGGATTAAAAAGCTTTTGTTTTCCGTTGCCGGCGGCGGCGGCGGCGGCGGCGACGGCAGCGGCAGCGATGCCATCGATTTTAATCGCTCGTCCTTCGATTCCCCCAATCCCAGCTTCCGGCTCGTGCCTCTATTGTGCTCGCATATGATACGCCGCGAGTCTCGAATTACGAATCGTTTTGATTTTATCAATGCATACCATCAGTTGTAATCGTATAACTATACGCAAATGTGCGTTCTCAAAGCGCAAAAAAATCAACGAACGAACAAGAATGAAGAATCCAGTGTTTAACGTTGAACAAAATAATTTATATAATTTCATTTTATATTTTCTTTTAATTTAGCTGGAACCAAAATTAAATTTTGTTAATTTTTTGTTAACATATATAGTGTTCTATAATTATTAGGAATATGTATAATTATGAAATAGAGGAAATTTTTGGTTTATAGTAGGGACACAATGCGAACAATATTGAAGTAAATCTTTCTCGGTGAATTGTTTTAATGGCGACGAAGTATAATACGTTAATACTTTATTCGAAGTCTGCTTTATATTAGTAGTCGCGATTCTAACTTTGCGATAACGAAAGAGTCGTAACTTACTTACACTGGAGTATTACAAAGTTAATATAATCAGTAATACCCTAACTTAAAATGAAATTTTCTCTCGCTGTGAGTATAGGGATATCGATAAAAAAGACCTTTAAACATTTTAAACGTTCTACATATTGCGTAATAAATTTTCTCTTTTCCAATTTATTAAATCTTGTCATTTTCACAATTTGTTATTGAAATTCGTTTATGTACGTTTATGTCTACAACACAAGTAATTTTAATTACTCGTGTATTATTCATTACATAATATTTTTTTTTTTATAGCTTTTGATGCCTGAAAGTTACAAATTAATATACACTTTGTTATAACCCTTTAAATTTTTATGGTCATTTTTATATTTTTACGAATGATATCGAAAAGAACGGTTAAATCGTATTATCGATTATTTTTAGGTTAATCAATAACGTACATTTTAAAATTTCTCTCTGCTAGGTAGAGTTATTAGCATTTAATTGTTTTCCTCGTTATAAATTTGTGAGCTGCGTGTAAGAAGAGTAGTTTACATATGCACACCGGATTGCTGCATAAGCACTTTCCGTGCCTGACCTATTCGTGTTATCGCGGCTACTGGAAACGCGATAACTGAACACCCGATATCAAGTGTTCAAAGCCATGCACTTTTTAACTTGTTAACTGAACATTTCGTTATCCAAAGCCTTCCTCTGTACGTGCGAATTAATACCGATAAATGCAAATGATATCTGGACCATTTCACGAAAACAAAGTATAAAACTGGATTTCAAATCGGTCATTATTTCTACACATTCAGCGGTCACGGGCGCGCGAGTCAGCGACGCGATAGCCACAGTATAATCGGTATTAAGCTTAATTATGTATACCGCAAAGGAAGATACATGATGTGTGCATGAGTTTGCGGGACGATGATATTTCAATCTGGCTTCGGCGATTGCCGCGCGCGCGTACGAAAAGACACATCATTTTGGCGGATTAGAGGGATGCAATTATCATATGTGTCCCACATATATCACACCGCGGCAAATGTTTTACGATGGATTTTGTATGCATAATATTAAGCGTATTTGAGTCACATTCGAGTGAAATCGATGTCGATGACGTTAATAGACTGATTTATCCCGGACTTTGATGCGCGAATACCGCTGAATGAAACACGACGACAGCTCATTCATGTAACAGCGATAATGATAATTTTGTTGATACCACTAATACGTGTGGCACACTGTGTAATTAAATTCAAAATAAACTGCGCGCGGGGTGCAGAGGACAACCTCAGGGAATTTTTTTCTACGAAAGTTGATCAGCCACGTGAACTAAACTTTTACATTTTTTTCACAAAATTTTATTGTACACGGAGAGAATTTTTTTTTAATTTATCCTGAAAATCATGTTAATTGTGGGACAAGATAGTATTTAGGCAAATTTTACTGTGCACTACAATAAATTTTACTGCAAAATACTTATTGTAGTGCACAGTAAAATTTGCCTAAATACTATATTGTCCCACAATTAACATGATTTGCGGGTAAATTTATTTGAGGGTGAATTTAAAAAAAAAAATTCTCTCCGTGTAACTTTCCACGAGATGTTTTGTACTCATCGAGATTGATATATTTATACACGTTTATTATATTGTAATTTCTCTCTTGCAGAGCGATCCGACTGACTGGTCCGTTTGTCACGATGGTGTACAGCATGATAACGGGCGACATGCTGACCTTCGGCATTATCTACACGGTCATGCTCTTCGGATTCTCGCAATCATTTTACTTTCTTTACAAGGGATTCCCCGGGGTGAAATCATCTCTCTATCATTCCTATCCTTCGACCTGGATGGCGTTGTTTCAGATAACCCTCGGCGATTATAGCGTAAGCTCGCCATAGATTACCGCTTTATTGGCACACGTCGTGGCAGTTTCTACTGTAGGCCCTTATCTCGCACACGCATGCACGTAAGTGCAAGATAATCCTCTCACGCATCCTTGTCTTCTTTTTTTGCATCTACTCCGAATCCCGTCCCATAATTTAATTGTTCTACAAAAATAATTGCAAAAATAACGTTCCTGCCTGCAAATTCATTTGTATATCTCAATCCATATATTTGCCTTCGTGTTCCATATAAATTTTAAACGTATTTAGAGCATCGCGAGACATTAGTTTAATTATTACACGTCAAAGTCAAAGATTAAACATCGCACGCGCGTTTACATCATTCCAAACGTTGTTCCGGTGCATCAGGACATACGCGGCTATGAATCTTGAATTTCAATCACGGACAATTCCGCGTCCGCACAAAATACACTACAATATGGTTTCCTGATGAAATTAAAAATTTAGCACGGCGGTCGCAAGCGCGCGCGCGTGCGTCTGCATGAACGCGTGCGAGGTCGGTGCGATAAAATACCGTCTGTCCCGTAAAAATCATTGCTCGGTTTCGCAGTTCGTATAACGATTAACTCGTTGCACTGAATTAAAAGGGGGTGGGACAAGGGAGCGGGGGGAGAGGGAAATACGAGTTTCCGTTTGAAAATTCTACGTGCTTCCGCCGTCGCGCGGTGGCGGGCACGCAACATCGGGCATTGGCCGCCTATTTATTAGCACCCACGTATAATTGTCACGACGATTTACCGTCGACGCTGCTGTGGACCGGCGTTGCGTTTATCCAATTGCGTTTATCGCATGTGCATTGCAGTATGCGGATTTAAGTAATACGACCTACCCTAACCTGAGCAAGACCGTCTTCGCGATTTTCATGGTGCTCGTGCCCATACTGCTGCTCAACATGTTAATTGCCATGATGGGTAATACATACGCACACGTTATCGAGCAAAGCGAAAAGGAATTCGTCAAGCAGGTTGGTATTAAAATAATTCACGACCCTTCTTAATTTAGTATCCACTTCCAAAATACGTTGCTACTCTCGGAATTATTTTTTTCGAGTATAGAAAGCGCTAAAATAACTTTCCAATACTTCCACAAAGTTATTTGTCATTATTAAATTTAAAAAAATCAATTGTATTGATTTTAAATTGATCAAAACTGTCGAGGTAATTTTTAATAGAAAACTGAAATAGACAATATTTGAGCTATTGTTAACTACATATATGAAGATTTAATGATGAGTGAAATTATTTATCTAGTTACGGTGACACATGGCTTATGCAAATAAATGTCACAAATACTTTCTTGAGCTTATTTCAATAGTCTCAATTAAATGCTCTTTTATTGATATTCCATTAAGTGGGCAAAAATCGTGGTGTCCTTGGAACGCGCCGTAGCCCAGAAAGACGCCAAGAATTACCTGCAGGAATACAGCATCAAGCTGGGCCCGGGCGACGATCCGAACAATCCCGCGTCGGAGCAGAGAGGCGTGCTGGTTATTAAAAGCAAATCGAAAACCAAAGCGAAGCAGCGTAAGGGCGCCGTGGCTAATTGGAAGGTGATTTATTTACTTATATTTATTCTTTTTCCATGCGTATGCGCGCATGCCGGCGGCGATGTATATCCAAAGATTTATTCCACACCAGTGCATCAAGCGTCAGAATTTATTTATCGGCGTCCCATTCGACTGATACGGGTCTGGTATCGACTCCCGTGAAATGCACACAGCGAATTTTGCTACGATGTAGTAAATTTCGTCGCAGAACAGCACAGCTACGCGAGAAATTTACTTCAAGATAAATTAAAAATTAATGGAATTAATATTTCGTTAACTCACTTTTTTGCAGGTCGACGAGCAAACAAAAAATTTTTTTCACCGATGCCATTCGAATATCATTATTTAACAGAAGTAGATATTGCTTACACTGATTATATTGATTACTATTAAAACTGTTTCTCGAGTTTTAATTTCATTTTGTAACAGTATACGTAACGCAAATAATGTCGTTATAATTTTATCACTTTGCTCCATGTACTTTTGCAGCGAGTTGGAAAAGTTACGATACACGAATTGAGAAAACGAGGTATGACTGGCGAGGAACTCCGTCGTATAATGTGGGGTCGCGCGTCCTTCTCTACCCCTGTGCGAGTCAGGTAATGATACTTTCATCGCATCTCATCATACCATATTTCTCCAGCGCTATCTGTTGTTTTATTACCCTTTCGGTGTAATTTCAAAATACTCATGTTGCCTTATAAGTTTTCTCTTACGTATATATTTAACTTACTTATTATTAAATTATAACATATAATATTTATTATTTATCACGTTATTATAAGATAAAAATTTATAATAGTTTTCTGTTCCATTTAAATTTTGCAATATATACATATACATATTCTTTTCTTTTAATTTTGATTAGAGTTATCTTACATTATTGTTTGCTTAGTTATATTTTTATTACAATACAAAAATTTCAATAGCTATGTTTCTTTTCATTATATTTTATTTAATTATTTTACACGGACGTATACCAAAAAAAAAACGGGCAAATCTATTTCAATTATACTCGCTGACATTGTGTCTCGACCGTTCCACGCGTTTGCAACTTGCAGCGCATAGATTTACAATCGTCCTTGCGGGAGTGACTCACTGTCAGCGAGACAGTACGCGGACGATACTTTTTATCACCTCGTAATTCCGTCGAGCCTGCCACCTGCAATCCGGACATAGCTATAACATCGCAGACGTCTAGAAACATCGGAGTCCTTCACGGATTGGCTATATGCCTCCACGTAACGAACGCGTAACAGCAACGTGAACGTGACCGTATCTCCAGTCTATTAAATATTTATGAGACTCGACGCGATGCGTTACATAATATCTATGTAGCAGGATGTAAGATGAATAGGTTATACACATCTAACATAAAGATGTTTCATGGAAGTATCAATAATTTAACAGCTTATGAAATAACTGACGATTTAAGTGTAACATCAAAGGTTTTTCCTTCATTAATTTAATTAATTTTCCCTACCATTATTTATTAGTCATATCTTTTTACCGATATATAAATATATTTTAAAATCCCGTATATAAGTTTATTATAACGTCAATCTGTAATTTTAATTGACAAATCTACTTATTAACTTGCATTGAGAGAGAACTAAAAATTATTCATTATATATATTGCAATTACTTCGATAATAATTCGTCTGAATGTAACATTTTATATGATACATCAATCTGCCCGTGGAACATTGTGGCCACGCGTTAATTTCACGTGCATTACAGTCCCAATGCCGACCAACCGCAAGTGTCGGCAGTTACTGCAGGTTTTGGTGATGCGTTAACCGCAGCTTTGGACGTAATGGCCTTTGCACATGACTTTGACTTATCCACCGCGACGGAGGGCATACCCACAAATATCGACACGAAACAGATAAAGACGGCGCAGTCGAAAGCCGCTCTTAACGACCAGCAGACGAAAACAACTCAAAATAAACCAAAAGCAGTGGCAAGTGTGCAACCGCATAAACAACCTATTCAGGAGCAAACTAAGTTATCAGGTCTCACGGATTTAATCGACAAGTCTATCGATCCTATCGATCCATCGAAGGATGTGGAGGCGATGAATTTGAAAAATACGAATCGTAAGTACAGATACGCGATTTTTTGATAATTGATAATTAACAATTTGTTTCTATTAACAATCTTTCGATGCTAAGAGCAAACTATAATAAATATTCCGAGCGTTTTTTTTTTCATGGAATATGAAACTGCGCGATTTTATGCGAAGTAATTATAAATAGCATAATTGAACGATTAATAATAGAAACGAAAGCGCTCCAAGAAACTGTCAAAGATCCATTTCTGGAACTCGCTATCGCGTCTGAGACTACAACCGATTACAAAACTCTACTGCAAATGGCGAAGTCCGCCGTAGCCACAAGCGAAGCTTCAATGAAAACCACGATCGACCCGCAAATTCTAGCACACTTCGCCATGGTCGCGCCGCCGACCGCTGAGAAATCTACTGTCGTTAAGAAGCAATATTTCATGGAGTCCAGCGACAATGACCTCGGCGGTAAGTGCCAAATTATCGAAATCATTATCACTAAAAGTTTTATAAATCGTGAAATTATTATAAATAAAGAAATTTATGTCAATCGTTTCTTACAGGCGATAATTTACTCGGTACCGAAGCGCGCCTACGAAGGATAAAATCCGCGAATAACAGATTCGTTACTACAGCGAAACGATCACGTCGCGACGATGACGACAGTTCCTCATCTACGACGTCTGTCGAGCCAAGTCAGCGATATCGACCACTACTAAATGATCCGGAAGAGAGACCGACGAATCGTATCGAGACCGAAGGACGAAAGACCACCGTGGAAACAATTAAGCCGGAGGTCAAGCAGAATGGCGTTCCCACCAAGCCACCCGATAAAAACCAAAAACATCGGCCAAAAACGGCCAAGAACAGGTAATAAAAAAAAATATATATATATATAATCTATGATTAATTGCGATACTTTCCGATTAATTATATATTTGGAAATTAATAAAGTTAAACACCCCCAAATATTCTGGTATCCTCGAGAAGAAAGTTATGCAGCAAGTTCTATATATTCAATTTTCTAAATTTAAAGTAAAACACAACTCGTTTCTTTTCGCAAAGATAAACAGTAGTATGAAAATACGCGAGACCAAAGATATCTCTGAACTTAAATAAGCTTTTGGACTCTCGATGGAAAAATGTAAATTTGCCGAGCTGTTGTCGATATCCTTTTTATTTTTAATCAAACAAACATAGCTCATATATAAACCAGGAAATCGATATTTATTGAACAACTAACCGTGATAGCTGACAGTGGAAGCTGAAGTTTCCAAGTGCATAACGGCCAACATGCGTGCGCGCACGTTAATTGACACGACTTAAATGACACATTAATTAAATTCCATCTAATAATTATCCCACATCGTTAGTTACGCAGTGTTCCACGTCGTTTGTAGTATAGATTTTTTGCCGATCGATTTTTCTTTAATAAAGACACTATATTTATAACTTCAGCGTAGAAAAAAAATGTACGACAAAACCATTGTTAAAGCGGCTTTTACTCGAAACTGTCTTTTTTAATTTGTTTGGTTGCAAACACGGATATCTGTAATATTAAAAATGCAATAATTATATGGCCTCTGATATTCTCGCTAAAGGAAGAATCGTGTCTAGATAGTCGCGTTCTATAGAGACTAAAGAATCCATATAGCGTTGAAAAGATTCAAGGATATCCTGCATAAAACGATATCGGCGGCCAATTGACTGCTTCCCTAATCGGTCGATGCTTTTTACAATGCATGCGCGCAGGGTATCGCCTAAGGAAATTGAGGAACCGGCGAGGAGAAGGGAGTCGATCGAGCGGAATAAGGCGGCCTCACCGTCGACGCCGTCCTCGGATCCGCTCGAGCCATGGAGCACGCGTGGCATTACCGACATGAACACGATATTGGCCTGGCGGGAGAACGCACCGGACAGTCCTTAATATGACTTTATGACATTTCGCGCTGCACCGATCACGACGTCGATGACGACGTCAATGTCAACGCCGCGCCGTGGGGTCACGCACGTGGATGATCGCGCATAAAGAGATCTCACGCCCGAACGAAGCCGTTTATTTTGAATACCGCGTAAGTCAAGTTTCAAAAAGTCTAGCACGACACACGCGCGCGCGCGGCAGGCATTATACATGCCCTTTATTTAATTACACGATATACAAAGTTGATCTCTAACGTATTTAAAAAAAAAAAAAAATTGTGCATAGATATAATCTGCGATTTAGGAGTAAGCAAAAGCGGAATGCGCACGATCGTAAATAAATAATTACAAGCCCTGAGCACAATAATTGGAGAGGGATAAAATTAATCGACAATACCTTTTTACATACGTAAATGGTTGGCTTATCCGTTTTTCCCGGGGGAGGGGAGGGAGGGGGTTGAACTTTGAAACACAGATTAGTATTGCATAAATTAGTTTTTGACGACACCACGTGGCGCTTAGCGTAAAAAAGAGCTTGAGCTTTCACTTTGGGGGAGTATATAAGCTCGGGCTAAACTGTTTGTAAAGATATACGATCGATTTCAAAGCGATTTGCATATATAGCGGTATTGTGTGTATAGGTACTGTTAATATAGGTATTACTCAATCTTACTCGCGAGGCGCGCATATATCTCATTATGGAAAACATATGCCGCCAAGTAACAGGCTTCCGTATGATAATTATTAAAGTAAACGCGTACATGCCGGGGACCAAAATGATGTTAACTCACCGTTACGTAATTTCCGGAGGGGTTGCACGATGAGAGATTTTCACATACGTGTACGTATTTATTAAAATAAGTCGCTGAGGAATTTCTCAGAGATACAGAACGGTTATGCAGCGTAAGCAACATACCTTCTAATGCTTTAGAAGATATTTTCAACTTTGAAGGAGATTCCGAATTTTTACTCTTACTACATTTGCCAATTACGCAATTAAAATATTTAGCAAGTTTCAGCAGCTTGGCAAGCTGCAATAACGTGCGAGAATAATAATTTCTCTGCTGGCATATCAATTGATTTCTCTTTTATTTAATTTCTGCGTAATTCACATTTAACGATTAGAATAGTGTGAAAAATATATTTCACATGCGTGGTAAACGGAAATATCTCCAAATACTTAATTGAATTTCTGTATAAACATCTGTACGTGGATGTTATTTGTATATAAAATATGTATGAAAAATAAATTATTTTGAAGTCATATCATTATCCTTAAATTCCTTAAATTAATTCTATTTTCTTTTTGCGTTTTACTGTTTACGTGCCACTTTCAGTTTTAGTCAAAATGTTTGACAGACCATTACTCGAAAATGTAAATTGCGTCACTGACAAAACAATCAACTCTTGCAAAATTGAGTTGTCGCATATGCATACCATTTTACGTTAAAACGTTAAGCAAATTTACAATGTCGTTAAACACGTCATGCAGTCCGAGCTCGCGAAACTTTGTGCCTTTTTGCTCCGCGTAATACGCGAGAGTATTATATTTATTTCTTTTAATTACCCGAGAAGTGGGCACTTTATATTTTTACCGTTAAATACATAAAATAAAATATACCGCGCAAAAATATGTATCTCGACGGGCGTCGACCTTCGTGATTTTTAGTTTTCTCACAATTGTATAAATTCACCACGTCTGCGATATTCTAGTTCCGTCTGCAATCTCCATCTATTGTTGCGGCGAAAGGAGGTGGAAAGACGGCGGAGATGCTCGGCGGTCTTGGGAAACGCAACGAAACTTGCGAAGTTCTTACCTCCCGCGCGTATTGAAACAATAATGATATGAGAGGCGGCCCTATAGCGCTGCGATACCGAAATGAAAACACGTGCTCCGCGCGTACGGCACCGGAGAAGGAACGAACTTGCCGAACAGGCACGTTTACACGCTATAACATCTCTCGTGGGGGAAACGATCGAACAAACAAATTTCGAACCCGCCGCCACGCTAGAAATTCACCGTGATATTACTATCGAGAGCTTTATAAATCGCACTTAGGAGGAAATATTGCGTAGCGGAATTGTTCTGCAAACAGTACCTTGTAAGCGGGCGAAGAGAATCGTTTATGTATTTTATATCGTTTTTACCCTCGTTTTGATTTAAGAGACTTAACGCTCGATTTTGTATTCCATGTTTTTTTTATTCCTAATAATTGCCCGATTCTGGTAATATTATATATTATTAAATCTGTTACGTATACTATTATTTTTGGTGAAATATTGCTAATACATGGTTATTTATCGTAATAAAAGGCTTAGGGCTCTCAAACGTGCCGGCACACGAGCATTTACATCGGTCAGACCCGCCCGAATTAAACGAAGTGAAATATAGACCCCGCGGTATTCCGCAACAGCGGAAAGAAGGCGAAGAAGAGGATATAAATTTGGAAATAAATTTGGATATAAAGCAATGTGCCACGCAAGCAAATAAAAATATCGGTCTGCCGAGTGCCGGGCATTCCGGCCCCGGCCAGATAATTTATCAGCGGCCCGCGCCCCGGCAGCGATTTCGTTTTCTTTAGGTATACCTACATATGTGCACAGCGGCGAGTTCTCGGCGGCCGTAATAAATGCGGAATTGAAATACTTCGCGCGGGGGGGTGCGTTGTTTAGATACACGTCTCGTTTCTCGTTCGCACATCGATCAAGCGCAAGGCCGACCGGCGACGGCGCAGCCGGAGTCGGTTCGCAATAGCGGCGATATGAATTTCCGTTCCGCGTTGCGCGATAAATTTCTCTTACCAATCCGGCGTCTCAGAACTGTCGAAGTCGCTAAATTGATTCGCGCGATCTGAAGTTGGACAGCTAGCCGGGGAGGAAAAAGAGAGGAAAAACCTGCACGTCGTGATTGTAGCTGACGCGCGTGCGACTAATCTCGCGAATGGATTCGACGACGAGATGAGGTTTAACCGGCGGACAGTTCGCGTCTTTTGCCTCTTATCCTTTCTCACTCATTACAGCGACGGACAAGCGAGAGGAAAGGTGTCAACGACCAAGAATAGAAGTTATTGCCGCATTTGTCCCGATCACACCATGTGCTTATTTCCTGTAAATATTTATTAACAGTTGCTCGGATAATATCGCATGTGCATACGGAAACTGTATTTGATCCACAGGGAATAGCGACTTTGTTAGTTCGGTACTCAATCATGATAAAATATGCCGACATGTATACACATATAAACACATACCTGTATACACATTCGAAATTTTCGAAATCCAATATATGTCTAACCTAATTTTTTTTTATCACGAGATATTCGCCATTTTTTTTAATTTTATATTTGTGAAGTTGAATGCTATCCTTTGCAGCAAAAAAATACCTACATGCATCCTCAGTTCGCAATTTGTTAATTCATCCCTACAGTCCGATTGCGAGAGCGTGGACTGCATTAATATGGAGAACGATGATCTCGACGAGGAGGATATCGAGACCGTGCTCGACAGTCATAATCGTTATCGCGTTGCCATTGCGAACGGCAAGGAGAGCCGCGGTAATCCCGGGCCGCAGCCCGCCGCGCGGACCATGATGGAATTGGTAGAAAAATCGACGGAACACGCGCGCGATATTTAATCATTTATCGCCGGGGATGGTGGACGGCGTCTGAAGCGTCATTTGTTTCGACAGATCTGGGACGACGAACTCGCCGTTATAGCGCGTCGATGGGCGTTGCAGTGCAAGCTCTTCGAGAAGGATCAGTGCCGAGACGTTGGCAAGTAACTCCGACGGATATATCTCATTTTTCATCCCTCCCTCGCGCCGCCGCCGCGCCGTTATTTTTCAATATCCAATAACCCGTGCAGACGCGAAATTGTTCTACCGATACAACCGCCGAAATACACGCGCGTGCACACATGCCAGCGTTACACATGTATACGTATAAGACCGTAGTCTCGATTCTCTAATTCTCTAATCGAGAGCTTGCGGATTTTTTTGGATTTTAGAGTCCATTCGACGCTCGTAAAGTTCGGCGATAAAAATACGCGAAAATAATCTTTGTATTCGAAAGAACGAGAACGCGACAATTGGCGGCAATATTCTCCGAAACGTCTCGAATACGAAACTCCTCGGGAAATTACAACTGTTTCAATATCTGCACAAAATTAAACGAGCCAAAAGTTTTATTGCTAATAAGACAGAATTGTTGAGCAATTTCGCTTCAGCGTTTCATTGTTCTCAAGGCGAAAACGCTCTACACGAGGTCCAGGTCCACACGGGTATCTTATTGAAACGAAGTCGCTTGTTGCAGAACGATTTGGAGTGTGGCAGAATGTAAATGCACTCGACATGGACAGCGAGGGAAATGGCACGAGTAGAGAAAGAATTCACTTTCATATTACATCGTGGTACGATGAAGTGGAGGACTTCGACAACGCGGAAGTCGGGTAAAACTCGAAAGTGTGCACAGTGTATATATATATATAGAATATACAGGATGTCCCACATCCAAAAGCATGGCCTTTCCTTCATATGAATTGTCGTTTGACCAATTTCTCTTTGGCACATCTCGACGCAAAGATCACATTATTATTCGTCAAGTTCCCAATTTTTAATAATAATATCTTTTTCACTTGTTGACTTCTGACAACTTTTAAATTAAAATGTTATTAAAATAGAATATTTATTTAAAATCAACTTACATTTAAAATTACAGAACATTTTCATTATCTGTTTGGACATTTGGATTTTCGGGAAAATCCGCTGTTTTCAGTTATGTGAAACTTAAAAATTAATGATCCCCGGACATTATTAGTAGGAAAAAATTGATTCTGATGTTAGTCGAAGATTCCATTTTGAAGTGGAAAACAACTGGTTATTTGTGGGATACACTGTATATGCAAATCGCGCGTCAAAGAATCGTCGTGAGCACACGCACGCTTCCCTTATGTGTATCTAGGTCGATAGTAAACGCGTGCACGAATCGCGATGCTGTCGAGAGAAAGGTACAATAGCTCGAGCCGAGTTGATCGGAACGACTCCTTTGTGCCCGGAGACTCCACTATCCCTTTGTGAATGGCCGATGTTCGACCCGGCGTGTAGACACAACTAACTCGGTCCCCCGGAATTTTGGGGGAAGGTTTGCAGCCGCCGCTCTGTTCTTCGCTTTCCTTCCCGTCTCCCTCCCGCCTTTTCGCGATCCCCTATTTCATTTCACATACCCACCCTCGTTTCTGCTTTCGCCTTCGCGATCGCGGTACCCCCATGGGAATCACACACAGTGCTGGTTTTAGAAATCTCGGTCTGCCTAAACTTTCACGCTCCTTCTTTACCATTCCTTCATGAATCAAAAATAAAAAAATTCAAAAAATAAACTAAACTAAAAAAAAATTTCGAATATATTCCTGTAGTTTTTTTTTAAATATAAAAATCTCTTGAACGTGTAATAGAATTTATAAAATTTTTGTTCACATAACGTTTTATTAATAGTGAGATGAAAAGAAAATTCGTTGTAAATCGTCGAATTCTAAAATATTAAAAACATTTTGAATAACATGAACATTTTGTTTTTAATTCTTTTTTATATTTACTAGAAAAAGAAAAAAAAAGTCTATGATTCACTCTACATAAATTTAGAAAGAAGAGATCGTTTTCTTCAAAGATGGTTAAATTAATGCTGACGCGCCCGCGTGCGCATTCTTGGCGGTACCTGTTTCTCTTGGCGCAACAGTACGTTTCGATCACCCTTTAAAGCCCCGGTACTGCGAGAGGTTTACTGACACTGGAAGGAAGAGGGAAAGAGGGTTGAAGCGACTTGACCGTCAGAGAAAATGATCGAAGACCGATTGTATGAAACAGAGGGTGAAAATAGAGGAATAGCAGATGGTGTTCTTCTTCTGTCGCCGAGAACAATCAAAATCGCGTATTCTCTCAGTAAATTGGAAATCGAGAGTGCTATTGTACCGGTCCAAATTACTCGATAGTCCGGTACGGATCCCCCAGTAGCTATGAACGAGTCTCTGTCGTTTTTTTATTATTTCGGTCTGATAGAAAAAAAAAAGATTTCAATTTCCTACAGAACACATGAAAATGCGACACAATCAGACTTCGAACTTTAACCTTGTAAAGTGTGCTCGAAAGTACGTATGTACAAAAACGTATTGCCATCTATTTCTCTTTTTTTTTTTTTTACATCTACAGCTTTTTACGTGAAATTTTATCCGAATACGTTTGCTAAGTTGAATTGATAACGGAAACGCGTATAAATATAAAAATGTCGATTGTTCCAAAATATCAGGAATAAAGAGACAGCTTTAATTCAGGTACAATTTCACTGTTAAATCTATAGTGTCAAACTGAACCTTATTTAAGTCGCCACTGCTTCTACTTAATAAATAGTTATTTTTAACTAAAACAATATAGTTATTTTTAAATAAAA